ACTATGCAAACTATGCAAACCATAACATTAAATTCATTTTGAATGAGAGCACTGTGGATATATAGATATTTACAAATACAGAAATCTCATGCCATAGCAAATTTGAAGTCTAAGAAAACTACTTCCAAGTTCCTGCTTTTTCTGTGACTTGTCACAGGACACACTAGGGAGTAAAACCAAACGTGGATTATGCCTTCTTATAAAAACACTTAAACAATTAACTTTTTGTCTTTCCCTAAGAAGTTTGTACACTTGCAGAGTTAACCACAAGCTATGAGAAATTCTTCTGTTGTGTGGAAAAAAACATGGTCTAGATATCTAGATTATATCTGATATAATCTAGATATCTAGATTATATTATGTATTATTATATTTGACAAGAAATTGAGCTTTGTATTCTTCGTTCAACTTTCCAATATTCCCATCTGTTCAAATGTAGATTAGAACTAGAACTAGAAAGAACTGGGCAAAAAACTCATATTAGTTCCTTTGAAAAGTCATCATTGTCAAGTTTTGGTTGAGGTTTGAGGACCCAAATGCAGAGGCAGAGAGGCTGAGGAGATTTCTTGCAGTTTAATGATTCAAACAGTAAACAAAGGCAGGAATCCAAAAATCCAACTAAAAATGTAAAGCAAACCAGAACCATGGAGACATCAAGGGAAACCAAACACGAGGAGCCAGGGGGAGACGAGGTAGGAAGACAACAGCATGAGAAACCAGCAACAACAAGGAACAAACAAGGAGCGACAGCAGAGGGAGAGAATATATACTGCTGACTGAGACAAAGGCAGGGCTAACGAGCGGACAAGGAGCAGGTGTGAGAGGAGACAACGAGGAAGCCAAAGGGAAAGGAACAAAAACAAGAGGGCAACAGAGGACAACAGAAAAACCTGAAAACCAACATAAATCTAGAAACTACAACAAAATAGGAATTAAACCAATAAAAATGGAAAACAGGGAACAAAGTAAAGCACAACAGAACCAAGACCATGACAATCATAGGAATTACACAGGCAAGGAATGTTTTGCCACTCTGATGTTTCCCACAACTTAGCCTTGCCCGCTAACAGAGAGATTACATAAGCCACCTTTAACAAATCGAGGGAAATGTGGAGGGCTGAAGTTCAAAGTGAATCTCACAGAAAAGCCTGACATTGCTCTGAATCACCCTTAAAGAGGGGACAGACGGGGTTTCTGACAAGCTGATCCATCAGCAAGTGTGGGAGTGGGGGTAGACCGATTAATCAAGTATCTCCTGCATGCCTGACTCAAGCCATGAAATACGTTGCTCAACCTCAGAACGCCACTCTCTGTCTGCCGATGGGTCCATGTTATTACCAGATTATTCCGTAATCACTCAGAACAGAGAGAACCAGTATTCAGGCGAGACAGACCTTCAGATGATGGAGGAAGAAAGGATAATCAAGAGGGAAAAGTCAAGAGAATATGACAAGAATATGTTCAAAGCTGCAGCAGCCTATGGCAACAAAATAAATGTAGATGAGTATGCCATGACTGTGTCAGCCTACATCAACAAATGCATTTAAGATGTCAGCATCACAAAGAATATCACCACCCAAGAAAACCAATGACCCTGGATGAATGAAAAGGTTTGGAAATTGCTGAAAGCACGGAACTCAGCTTTCAAGTCTGGTGATAGAGAGGTTCTGAAAACAGCGCATGCCAACTTGAACTGTGCCATCAGATCAGTGAAGTAGAACCACAGCCAGAAAGTCCAGGATCTTTTCAACAATGCCAACCACACCAGGAGGCACTAAACAGCACTCCGGCAGTGAAAGCCATTGCACACCAGGGGGAAGATACACTCAACCTTGACATAGCTGAAGTGAGGAAAACTCTAAGGAGAATCAACCCAAGAAAGGGCCCAGGTCCCAATAACATACCTGGGCGGGTGTTCAAGGAGTGTTTAGGTCAGCTGGCTGCTGTCCTCACAGACATCTTAACAACTCACTGGACAAGCTGAGGCAGAGGCATTTCTTGCAAGAAATAAGGTTCAAATTTATTTAACATCCTCGGACGGAAAGACAGAGCTCTCCCTGGGGCATTTCAGTACATACATTTATACCTTACAAAATCACACACACACCCTCCACAGGGGAGCCGACCAACCCCCTGCATAAAGAACTTTTTCACACTTGAACATCGAAGATAAACAACTTCAGTTTGTCAGGGCCATTCCCTGTTAGATTAATATATCTTTCACTGACCAGATGGATCTTCTCAAAACAACAGTCCTCCCCTTCATGCCATTAAGGAGGCTGTGTTACTCATTTTTAATCTCTCATGACCTTCTTTTGGAGCCTGGGAGGCTAAAAAAAGACATACCTCAAATTTTTTTACTCCACAGAACACATTGTCTCCAGTCTCCCCCAACATTCGACCCATTCAGTTCGCCTACCCATGAAACCGCTCCACTGAAGATGGCATCCTCTCTGCTCTTCAACTGAGCCTAGCACACCTGGAGGTGAAGAACACCCACGTGCGGATGCTGTTGCTGGACTTCAGTTCAGCTTTCAACACCATCATCCCACAGCATCTGATAGGGAAACTGGAACACCCCTCTGCAATTGGCTATGAGACTTCCTCACAAACAGACCGCAGCAACTCCGGTCGGACAAAACTCCCCTGATGTCATCATCCTAAGCACAGGCTGCGTACTGTGCCCCCTGCTGTTCACCCTGATGACATATGACTGCGTCCCCAAGTTCACCACCAATCAAATCATAAGGTTTGCAGACAACACTACGGTGGTGGACCTCATCAGAGATGACAACGACCAGGTCTACAGAGAAACGGTGGAGCAGCTGGTTGACTCAGCAGTAGGGGTGGTCAGCAGCACCAAATTCCTGGGGGTGCACATTACAGACAACCTAACCTGGACTGTAAACACCACCTCACTGTTACACTGCAAAAACGTTCTGAAAATTAGTAAAAATGTCTTTAAACAAGTGTATTTACCTTAAATTTGAGTAGGAAAACAAGATGATCTGCCAATGGAAGGAGCATTTTTACCCTTAAAATAAGATAAATTAGATATTTTGCGCTTGAAGTAAGAGACTACAGTGTTTTTTTGTTATTTAAATGTAAATTGTCTTATTCCATTGGCAAAGAGTCTTACTTACCTGCTCAATTCAAGAGGAAATGCACTTGTTTTAAGAAAAATGTACTTACTTAGATTTACATTTTTTGCAGTGTAAAAAGGTTCAAAAAAAGCACCTGTACTTCCTTCGGAAGATGAGGAGAGCCCGACTATCCTCACCCATTCTCACGATCTTCTACAGAAGCACCATAGAGAGTGTTCTGACCAGCTGTCTGATTGCGTGGTGTGGAGGCTGCAGCACCGCATACTTTTAGAAGGTAAGAAAAGCGGTGAGAATAGCAGAGAAGATCATCGGGGCTCCTCTTTTATGGAGACATTTCATCCCAGCGCTGTGAGTCCTGGGCACGTAACATTTTCAATGATCTCTCACAGCTCACCATGGATTGTTCTCCCTGGTGCCCTCTGGAAAGAGGCTTCGAAGAATCTGATGCATGTCCAACAGATTCCGAAAGAGATCCTTCCCTACCGCCATCACACAGCTGAACTGTTGAAAAAAACTAAATCATGTCACAGACTTGCGACCCAAGAAGAAACCGCACAGCTTGTGACCCACAAAGAAGAGGCACAGCTTGGGAACCACAAAAAAGCGGCACAGCTTGGGACAAATATTATTCTAAGAAAAGTCTTCACAGACTCTATCCAAATGGGCCACCTATATTATCTCTAGATCTAATGTGGATAGAGCAGACTTATACCACTTGCTTAGGGGCTATAATAAACAGAAGAAGTTTCGTCCTTAATGGTTCTTGCAAATGGGAATATAATTCAATAAAGAATTCGGATTAAGTTTGTTGCTTTTTAGTAATGATTTATTGAAGCAAACAGAAATATTAAATAAATTAGATTATTATAATCAGAAGCAAGTTACTTTTGCAATGGCTGTAAAATAAATAAATAAATAAAATACATTTAAATCAAATGGGAAAAAAAAAAACTCAGAGCCTCCAAATACAGCAACACTTTTGGACAAAGCTATTAGCTGTAATCATGTTAAATGTTGTATTATATTAAGGGTATACACGACTTTCTATAAAATATGGGATGTTATTGAATTTGAAATACATCTAACTTGTTCTTTACTTGTTCTCATTTTTATTCAGTATAAATAACAAATGACTATGAATTAGTGTAAAAAAAATTTCTTTCTTTTTAGAAAAGAGAATTTAAATAACAGGCTTTAAATCATAATACAATATGTATAACATCTTCTAAATGACTGATATTTGAAAAATAAAAATAAATGAGGCAATGATGAACTGCATGGATATCATACTCAGCTATATTTTTTATTATAATTTCAATAACAGACTCTTCATCAAAGTACACTTTAATTTCCACATAATGAAGTTAGTGGGTGAGAAATATATATTTTAGTTTTTAGTAAGATTCCAGAAGGCATTGCTGATCAAATATTTAACACAAAAATATAATTGAAACAGTTAAAACAAAATGAACATAAAAAACATGCCAGCAGCTCACTTAAAATAAGCAAAACATATTCAAACAATTGAACTTATGTTGTTTCACTGATATATTTTAAAGTGTAAACTTCATGTGACGGTAATATCCAATTGGATTTAAATGTTAAAAATATCTCCAAGATGCTCTCAGCCTTCTTAAAAGACTAGATTATAAAGCTTGGAGGCCTTTTAATATTTTCCCTTTTGTGCCCCCTCCCTTAAATGTTTGAAACTATTAAATCAAAGGGAAATCTCAACATTAAAAGGCATATTTTATCTATACATTCATATTTAAAAACACAAACAGACCACAAACATGAAGACACAAGAATATCATAAAGATTAGTAATTTATATAAGCCTAAGAGATATACTATTAACTAAACATTTAAGCTTTAAACTAACAGGTTAAAACGTCCACTCAAAGCTTCGATTCTGAGATGCAGGTTTTAATGAAAGTATCTAACTATTATGCTTTTTTACTGCCTATCAATTTTAATCCTAGTTTTAAACTTAATTTCTTCATGACAACATATGTATTGAGAGAACTGTACCCATTTTTTTCCCTTTGGTCAAAGCAAACCAAGTTTCCAAATTGACTCTGGACACCGTATAGCCATTTTTCAGAAGGGAGAAAGAAAGACTTAGTCAGTGACTTCAACTCTAAGAGGACAACATAGGTAATACAGCAGTACAGGTCTGATGGTCTGATCTCTGAGCCCATAGATGAGAGAGCTCAAACATCTAGGGAAGATTATAAAAAAAACATACAAAACATTCCAAACCCATAAAAATGCCAGCCTTGTTAAAATTTTGGAAAGACCAATGATAAGTGGGGTGTAAATAGTTGAGGAAAGACTCAGCCCAAGTTGAATTAAATTAAGCAGCAGGGTGTGACGGGCCTTATTTGCCAAAGCTTTATTTGTGGAGGCTGATCTGGCTGCTTTAATGACACCAACATAGGAGAAAGTTGCAGCAACACCAGCTGAAACAAACACAACACAGGTATAGGCTCTGTCATATTCGTTAGTTAAAGCCCCAAGAATCAAAGACACTGTAGAACAAAGGTCTTTAAGCTTCCAAATCTCATTTTTTTCTGATGAAGATTTTAGGAACCAAAAAACACGAGTGAGATTGTTTAAGGAGCTGACTGCCCAGATTGCCATGATTACCACGTTTGTATTTCTGATGGTGATGATAGAGGAGTGCCTCAGTGGGAAGCACACAGCCACATATCTCTCTAAAGGCATTACCACCAGTGTTAGCGGAGAAATTCCAGTTGTGAGACTGGCAAGGAAATTCAGGAAAATACAGATTGAATATGCCATTTTTACTTTGCAATTAGAAAGCAAAAAATGCAGCTGACTCTGTGCCAGCTGAAGAGTGTCTGTCAGAAGGAGGTTGTAGAGAAGAATGTACCGACTTGTGTCACGAAATACAGCTTTACTCCGGAGAGTGAACAGAATAGTCCCATTAATGTAGAGAAAAATAACAGATGGAACCGTAGACAGAGTTGCAACTATAATCGTTTTCAATAGTTCCTGATTCTCACTAAGAGATGTCATGTTCGACCCAGTCTGGGATCCATTCAGCATGCTGGTCACTTCTTAAAGCTAGATCAACCTTATCTGTAGGAAACAAAACAAAAAATCCATTAGTCATTACATAATTTTAAATGCAAAGTGTATTTTTAAACAATAATGGCTGGTAGGTGATAGAAAATGAAGAAGTCCAATAAAAGTATTATTTACCTATGTGAAGCTTTACATTAGATCAAGGATGCTTGTCATCTGCCTTTTCTTTAACAAAGTGGATGTATCAAGTCCTGCTCTATATAAATGTTCACATCACATTTCATGTCAGAACTGTTTGCTAATGATCTAACCGAATCGTAATGACCTTAGTCCTCTTGGGCAGTCCCTGGAAAGCTCATATGTCATGCATTTTGTATTAATGTTTTTGAGTTCATTTAATTCAATTCAGAAAGTAAAAAGTTTTAAATTTGCTAAACACTGTTTTTTTAGCCCTTTCATACACAAGATCAGAATTTCAAATGAATGCAATTCAGTCCATTTTATATATATATATATATATTTAGATTAAATCACAATTGCACATATTCCCATTCAGTCACAGTCACATTCAACTATGCAAACCATAACATTACATTTATATTGAATACAAAAACTGTGGATATGTAGATATTTACAAACACAGAAATCTCATGCCATAGCAAATTTAGAGTCTAAGAAAAATACTTTCAAGCTTTCCAATGTTTCCATCTGTTCAAATCTAGAACATAATTATCTTCTAACCAACTTAAAATCTGCAAAGGTCTGTGAAGGTCTCCTCTATAGTTATTTAAAACAAGTTACAGTTGGAGAAAAATAAAATGTGATAGGATCATCATTATAGAATAGAAAATCCCTTTATTGTTAAATAATTTGTTTAAAAAGCAAAAAATGAAAAGAATCAACGACATGCTTCTCCATCATTATCATTGCATGAGGATTATATTTGATTATGCGATCAAATGCTTGATGTTTTGAACGTTAAACAAAAGTCATGTGAAGAAACATTTGTCAGAGTCTTAATCATTACAGTAAAAACATTTGACATTAAAGGCATCTGATATGGCGAAGTGGTCTATTTTTCAGACATAGCTACTGTTATTAAACTGGTAATAACAAATACAGATAAGGATTTACACAGCAGACACAGCAGGTGAGAATAGCTGCAGATGCGGAAATCGAAACCATAGCGCCAACAAAAAAAAAAAAACAGAGCTAAACCAATTGTTGGGATCTGGAGGCTTGTCTAACTTTCTCCACCAGAGGGCGCCTGAGATCTTCCTTCTGAGGGCATGAGCTGACTTCTACACACCTGTTTCCCATCTGCTCATCATGAGGCTTACTTAAGGAGGAGGAGGCTGACACTTCCCTGCCAGAGTGTTTGCCAGTAATGGTACCAGCAAAACCTGAGCCAGCTTCTCTGATCAGTTCTCTGATTTTTGCAAACTAGTCTGACCCTGTGTTCTTCTGCATCTCAGATCCTGACTTATCTGGATATCAGCCTAATCCTGGAGAAAACAATCGCTGCCTGGAACCTGCCTGTCTGCCCTCCACCTCAGCCTCCATTTCTGCCTCTGCCCTCAGCTCTCAGCCTGCCGACCTGCCTCTGGACCCACAAGGTTTCCCCCCCCGCTGATCAGAATACCCTCTGAGCAGGTATTAAACCAAGTCACCGTTAAACTGCAAGTTTCCTGGATCCACTCTAACAGATCTGTCCTCCTCTAGTGCTTCCCTCCCGTGACCAGTCTGCCGAGCCAAGACCCCATTCACATTTCTCTGTAAACTTTGTAAATAAACCATTTAACTTTTTCCCTGTCTGCTGAGTGTTTCTGCATGTGAGTTAGACGCTTAGACCCCAACATGACACCAATCAGGTTCTGAAATTCAGAATCTGTAATGACTTAGAACAGAGGGACCCTGTATTAAGGCAAGACAGACAATGGGATAACTTAAAAGGCGTTGATTAAGGCAAGGGCAAACAGTTTGTAGATATGCAGCTGAAGAGGCTAAAGAGCCTGAGGCAGGTAGCTCTGGCGAGAGGAAACACAAGCTAGTGACCACAAAAACCTTAAAGAGGAGGATCTGAATGCACAAATCACTAATCTGATTTCAGAATTTAATTTAATCTGATGATTTGATTTGAGTGCAGCCCGTGCCCAGAGAACAAGGTCGATACCAGCCGGTCAGTTGACAAGACGCAATAGTTGCCACACAGAGAGATTCTTACACCAAAACTTTGAAGGACACTGAACTGACAGGAGATCAGATCCAAGCAGATGACAGAAGAAGGCAGGATAATCCACAGGGAGAAGTGAAGAAGCAGGATCAGTCACAGTAGAATCCAACAGAGCCAGAAGACCGGTAAGGCAAACAAATTGGAACGGGGCAGGCAGGCTGATAGGTCCGAAGACAGAAATGGGTAAGGATCAGACAATCAGAACACTATTAGTAATGGTAGAAAACTCTCACACAAGAGGATCAAGAATAATCTGGCACTGACGACTGGGAGCAAGCAGTTAAAATATAAGTAGGAGCAGGTGGATCAGATGAGAAGCAATGAGCAACTGGGCAGAATTGGACAAGTGAATGAAATGACTAATCAAGCCAGTCATCAGCGCCAAGATCATGACCGTATCCTCGGCCATCTGTTTTGCTAGAGTACTTAATCCATCTAGACCCTTTGTGATCAAACCATCAGGTTAATGTTAGTAATAACCAGAACAAGGAGTCAATCAATAGTGGTGTTTCTAGTTGGGGGAAAAAAGCAATTAAAGTGGGACAATCCGAGGGCTAGAGATTCATGTGCAAAGCTAACATACAGCTAGATCCAGGAAAGTATCAGTCAAACAACAGAGGTGCAATGGTGGTGAAAAGCGTTTGTTGAGCAGTGGAACATTGAATGCAGCCTGTAATGTTATTGCTCTTAGCAGTAAGTGTAATCCATTTGAGAACATGTGATGAAGAAATGTTCAATATGTTACCAGCGTTTCAGGTGTTTTTTGTGCTTGGAAGAAAACTATCTAAGGTGTCATCAGGATCAGAGTCAGAGGTTTGAATCACACCCTGCAAATAACGTTTTGAAAGTCCCTTTCGGGTTCCCACCAGGAACATTAGCCCCTAAAATGAAGTAAAAGTGATCTAAGTCTTTGTGAAAAATAAAAATTGATGTATAACTCAGCATATCTGTGTAACATCATTTCAGCCGTAAGAGACTAACACACACAAGAAGCCACACAATTAGAGAGATTAATTGATGAACCTGACAGTTCTGGAAGAGAGTGGCAAAGAGTTTGGATGATAATTGTGAGATAAGGAGAAGATACGTCTTCCCCCAAAAGAATGTTCTCGGGCCAGACTAAAGAGAAAAAGGTGCGAGAGAATGGTGGCAAGGAGAGTGTACAACATGAACCTGAGTATGGAAAGGATGGGAATTGATAATGAGAGAAAAAAACTGACATGTGAACTAGGCTGAGCCTGATAATGCATAAGAGGAATAAGACATCTAACAAACTTTTCGAGCAAATGAAATAACCCTACTGCATAAGGAGACTGCAGACTTAGCTCTGCCTGACAGGGAGAACAGAAGGTGACTTTGCTGAGCTTGAGAAGCTGCCAAATATAGATGCCAAACTCACCCAGAGCCATAGCTCTGTTGAACCGCCCACCCCCCCTGCTCTTATCAGTAATGATTCTTTATAAATAAGGTCGATTCCATTAAAAATTAGACCATAAGTGCACAGTCCTTTACCCTATCCTCTTCACCTTATACACCTCAGACTTCTGTTACAACTCTGAGTTGTGTCACATGCAGAAGTATGCAGATTACACAGCCGTTGTGGGGTGTATCAGGGACAACTGAGAAGAGGAGTACAGAAGTCTGGTTGTGGGCTTTGCCACCTGGTTCCGAACAAACCACTTGGAGCTCAACATCTCCAAGAAAAAGGAGTTGGTCATAGACTACGAGATGAATGGACCAAAGACTAAGCCGGTACTACTAGAGGGGGCTGAGGTGGAGGCTGTCGATTCATACAAATACCTTGGGGTTTGGCTGGATAATAAACTGGACTGATAACACACACCAACCACCTGCACAGGAAGACACAGAGCAGGATGTACCTCCTGGGGAGACTAAGGTTGTTTAACATCTGTAATAAGGTGTTGGAGATTTTCTACCAGTCTTTGGTTGCCAGTGTCCTCTTCTATCCTGTGGTGTGCTGGGGAGCAGCACATCCATGAAGGACATGTCCAGACTGGACAAGGTGGTGAGGTGAGCCGGCTCTGTGACTGGCAAGAAGCTGGAACCTCTGGGGATGTGGTTGAGACAAGGACACTTAGCAAACTGCTGGACATTATGAACAATACCCAGCCACCCTTTGCAGACTTCACCTCTAAGAGGAGCCTGATTATTCTGAAATTGGACCTCCCCATATACAGGACCAACAGACTGCTGAACTTCTTTGTTCACCAATCCTTCAAACTGTACAACTCCTCACTTGGGGTAAGGAGGAAGTGATAGGAAGAGCGAAAAAGGATCAGCAACCCCCTCCTTGGACATCTTATGCAAAACATTGTCAACATTCTCTCTAACTGTGCAATATTACATGCCAACTACTGTGTAGCCTGTCTATTTTTTTAACTTATTTATTAGGTCAGTACAGTTCTCCAGTGCAAGTACAATAACCCAAGTCAACTACTATGTAGCTACCAGTGAGTGGGAGAGAAATTCATTTGTTGGTCACTACATCTTTTTACCAAGAGTTTCACCCAGATTTTTCAGCGCACCATGCCCAGATGGGAGGCGGCCAGGGCTTTGAACCGGCTGCAGCAGAACAAGAGACGCGTCTTAGACTATGCTATTGAGTTCCGCACCTTAGCAGATGGCAGTGATTGGAATCCTGCAGCTCTTTTTGATGCCTTTTTAGATGGCCTTTCAGGTGAGCTCAAGGATCAGTTGGCTCCACTGGATTTACCCGAGGATTTGGAATCTCGTATCGCTTTGGCAACAAAGACTGATAAAAGACTCTATGAACGTCGGGGGGAATTAGTTTTTTCCAACAACTTTTCACTGAGAAACAATGCTGCTACAGGGGCTACTTCCTGGTGACCCCTCACTCCAGAGCCTGCTCCCTCTTTGTCTTTTGATCCATGAGTTTTGTCTGAGGTCTTTTGATCCATGAGTTTTGTCTGAGGTACCCATGGAACTTGGCCGGACAGT